TGGTCCATGCTAACTTAGCACGCCTGTATTTTCTCCTTGCAATTTAGTGATAAAAAACACAGTGAATATACCTTTTCACTTTTTGAAGTACACATAACACTCGGATTTAAATCCGAGGTTTTCGCATTTTTTAATTTTGGTATTGATTTCTATTAAATATAAATCAAGATCATCTAAATTCTTATACATTTTTACTTGTAATTTATTGATGAAATATAAATTCATTTCCTAAAGGCATCAGCTGATTTTCTCTTACTTGTTTTGTTTTCTTCTAACATTCAATTATTTGTTCTTAAAAAGTCTATTTGTATTATCAACGAAGCTTACAAATACAAAAAATATTGATCGATTTTCATCGTTTCAAATAACATAAAATAAAGCAAACGAAATAAAAAAACAAATAAACATAACAGCATTAAACACATACATCAATTTATACTACATGAAATATTTCTCGTGAAGAATAAATAAATATCGAAAATAAATATATCTTTTATAATATTGTTTTCTGCTTATTATTTAATCAAAAGACTAGATAGATAATTGATGTCGACTGGCAAATATATAGGAATGTACAGATCCATCATCAGTACCAAAAAAAAACATTCCATCATTATATGCTATTGTTGTTATACTTATATTATCCGAAATATTTAATGTATGAACTTTTTCACATATCTTTAAATTCCATACATCACATGAACCATTTATTAAACCAATAATTAACATTTGTGATAAATAAAATAATGAATTAAATAAATGTTCATCAGATAAGCATGTTGTTGTAAATACATCTGTACCTGATATAATATCAACTAATGTTGCTGTTCTTGATGTTATATATGCAAGAAAAAGACCATCAGAACGTAATGATAATGATAAAATTGGTAATGATGATGATGTTGAGGTTAATTGTTTTAATATTTGTCCAGTTTGAAAGTTACATATACATATTGAACCATCTTGACAACCAACCGTTATAAGACAATGTTCTTCTAATACATGCATGCAAGTACAAGATGAATCAAATGATATATCATATTGCATTGGAATAATTGATGATAAATGATAATCTGTTTGAAGTATATAATTATTATTATGAATAGAAATAAGATTTTCTAATGACCAAAAACGTACAGTTGCATCAGTTGATGATGTACATAAAAGTGTTGGTGTTGATCGATTTGTTATATATAAATCAGTAATAGTATCATCATGTAAAACTTGTGATAATAATGATGTACCTGTTTCTAAATTATAAATATATAATGTATGATCATAACTACCAATAAATGCTAATGAAGAACGTTCATTTGTATTTATTGATGAATGTACTTGAATTGCTTTTAAACATGTTAACGGACGTGATGATATAAAATAAAATGTATCAATTTTACTTTTATCCACCATATAATTACGTAAAAAACCATCGTCACCTATTGTTAATAAATGTGTTGATGATAATAATGGATGTGGTACAATACGTTTTACAGCTGTTTTATGTAAACGACAAACAGAATCAAATTCAAATTGACCTAATTCATATTGTTCAAATGATGATAATGATTGAATTCGAGGACGTGCCGATTTTAATTCGATATCATTATTATCATTATCAATTGGAATTGATGGAATATCAATATTAGCATTTGTTTTTTGCTCATCATCTATAATAAAGATTATGAAGGTTTAAAAAAAAACAACAAAGTTTAATTTATTCTAGAGAGACAATGAAAGTTATTTTTTTTTCTTGGATTTGTTTGAATTTCTGACCTGAGAAAAATATATTTCAAAGAATATAAACCAACCCCTTAGAGTAAAAACTCATGACCTTCTTTTACGGACTAGATTTTTGAAAAAAATGTCTGCCATTTAAACAGGCGTTTTCAGCAAATAAATACCGAAAAACTAGGGTTTCTATTGGGAAAAATAGTAGTTTTAATTATAAGCAGATGACTTTTTACTAAGAAGGAAATAGACGACTTCTAGACTTCATGAGAAGATAAGATTAAAGTCTCTGCTGTTTCTCCTCGCTTTATACTCAAAAAATTTGATTTTGAATAGATATGTACAGAATTACTCTAGCATACTCTTAGGAGTGTCTCGAGGTCACCAAGATTTGGGGGCGGGGCACTACTGAGAATTTAGAGTTCACGACATTGGGAGGGCGAGGAGAGCCTTGTTATGGAGATTGGTGAACAAAAAAACGAAGAGAATCGTTCAGTTTCACTGGAGAAAAGCGAAAACTTTCCGAGATTCGGGTAAGGAATACTCCTCCAGGGGAAGGTAGGATAAGGGTAAACATTTTGCAGAATGAGTTAGGATAGAGTAAAGGTAGACAAAAGTAGAGCTCTCCTCGAAGGGAAAACAGCAAAGACTTCAGTCTTGAAGTCTTAAAGTTTGTTGTTGTTCCTCGTATTTTCCAGGGCAGAGTAGGGTAAGGTTTAGAAAATTTTTCTCCGTTAGGGTATGACAAAAGCTTACTCTATACATCTCAAGTTTCTAGAGAATAATATCCCAAAGAACCAGCTGCATTTCCTGAAAGACTTTTGAGAAAACCTGTGAGTTTCTATTCGGCAGACGGAGAGAGAGAGAGAGAGGTTCATAGAGGAATTTATATTGAAATTTGAAAAATAACTGCTGAAATTAAATTTACTTACATTCTTCTAATTCTTGTTTAGTTAATTTACGTGGATGTGGTTTTAAGAAAAGCTGCAAAAGAAAAACGAAATTTAATAATATAATAAAAATTAGGTAAATCTTCATTTTGCTTTTATTTTAAGGTACCTGTTTAGGAATTTGTCCAAATTCAAGAATTTGTGTTTCTAATGATAATTGTTCATCAAATTCTTCAGTTGATGTTGACGTATGATTTTCTGGTACACCATATGTTAAGTAATGAAATAAATTATCAGCTTGACGAGCTTCTTCACCACATTGTTTATAACCAAATATAAGATCAATCCATTCATGTAAATGTTGTGATACATAATCACTTTCTAATGCTAAACGCATTTTATAAACAAAATCTCGTTCATTTTCTGCCCATGGTGGAAGTATAACATCACCAACACGTACATCATCATGTCGTATACCAAAATCAATATTAAATTGATTAAGTAAAAATTCTCCATCTTGACGATGTTCATCATCATCTTCATCATCATTAAATTGTGATGACATATAAAATTCTGGTATTAATTCTTTTACATCAGAATCACTTGTTAAAACACTATAAAAATAAAAAGAAGAATTACAATAACAAAAAAAATTCTCTATCATAATTTTGAAAAAAATAAGTAAATTACCTTTTCCATGTATCAATAATTGAATGAAATAATCGATCTGAATGATCAAAACGACCACCATTTAAACATAAACTAAATTGCGGATGAAGACGACAAAGAAAATAAACAACAAAACCTGGATTTGAATAAAAACTTCCATAAAGAAAACGTTGATGATCAGATGGTAAACTCATATTTATATAACGTTCTTTTAAACGTTCTAAACGTTCAATATTAAGTGCACCAATTGGTTTACTTAAATCACGAAATGTATGTGGATCATTTAAATCAAGATTTTTTGATGTATAATTTCTTAATACCCATGGAAATACAGGATATTGTGAACAATCATGAAATGAACGTTCACTACGATCATTTAAATAAAGTAAATAATCATAATTTGATATTGTACCTTGTTGCCATCGTAATGTCATATTTTCAAATGATGTTGAATCAATTCGTACAGATGGTTCAGCTAGTACTAAATCATAAAATGTTGTACATATGGATTCATTAGCAAAAACCAAATATAAAATTTTCTTTTGATTATGTTGTCTAGAAAAAAAATGAAAATAAAAAATTATAATAATTAATATTATTCGACAGTGTATATTCTTTTCTTCTTCTATGATTTGTATTTTTCAAATAGTTTAGAAAATCTTGAAAAATACGAACTCAATATAGGTATGAACTAGTCTCAGTTACTTGAATAACTATAGGTCTGAGTGCATATTCAACATAAAGAATAACTAGTTGTCATAGAACAAGGATCATATGTATTCAGTTGACCACAGGGTATCCCGAAGTCATCACGATTTGAGGAGAGATTTTATGTTTTCTGGGTATTGGTGAGCGAAAAAACAATGACATGTTGAAACTCTACTGAACAAAACCGAAACTTTTTCAAGAATGAAGGATCATCCCTTAACCTCCCCTTTAGTCAAACAAGCGGAACTGGAACTTGTGCATACTTAACTCAGAGAAATTTTGAAGCCTAAGACGAGAATTCTAGACCTATTCCTAAATGTGTCCTCTCAAAGATTGGGACAGAAACTTTGACATGGCCACCATGGCTAAGTGGTGGCACTAACGGTTATTTGTTTCAGACTACCTGTCTGATAGCGTGTTGACAACATTGTGACATACACTTCTTTTTGTGGTTAGTTAGTGTATGTCAGAAGCACAAGCAAATCAGTGCAAGGACTCTGCGTCAGGCCAGCCTTCTGTGCAGAACTACATCTATTGTCGGCGCCAGAATTAAATAGGGGTGGGTATAAGCTCAATAACTCGACAACCGCAATAGCTAGCGACCTGCGGTTTTCGTCAATCGAAAGAGGAGGAGTTGGGACGCCTTTTTCTCTGATAATGTATAAGACGAAAACCTTTTAAAACTAATCATATTCGAAAAGCATGCAAAAGAACCCATGAAAATGATCTGCCAGCTCGATGAAATTTAGNCTGCATATCGCAAGTTAGCCGAATGGCAGGAGTATTCTTTCTCCTTCTTCTATATTGTCACAACGCACCGTCATAGTATCTAATAAACAGAATCGAAAATGAATTTATTGTGTACTTTTACAAGCTACTAAAAGAAAAATTCGTAAGTTTAAAGCAAACTAAAAAGTTCTAGGACAATATTGATTTAAAGCATTTTTGAAACACGTATTTCTATTGATAAAAGCAATTATTTCGTGTTTCAAATTTCACTTTGGAAGAAGGAAAATGTCAATGACTTCTTATATATTTTCATCTCGTTCGAAAAGCATCAGATTATTAAAATGAAGGAGATCTATATATTTTATTGAAGTAAGTCTATTATTCATCTTTTCCGTAATATAGATATACGATGTACATAAACTGATGAGGTTTGTTAATTTCAGCAGGTTCTTTTCTCAAACAAACAAATTTTTTTACAAAAAAACTATCAAAATCGTTTATGATTCATTACATTTGTCATGCCTTTGGATCACTAGAGCCCATTGAATTTCAAAAATTCCTGAACTGGCAGATTCTGCCTAATATCATACATAAAAAGTGGCAAAAATATTGTCACTTCCTTAACGTCACTTAATATTTGGAGTCGAACAAAAATCTTGTTCTCACATAATCGATACTCATAAATAATCGAATATTACTTTTTCCTACATTGTTAAACATATAACAAGATGATTCCTCCTGCAAAAAATTATTCAGTAAAAGTTTATTTGATTCTTTCTACATTCTAATGATCTAATAATTTTCAATTCAGATTTTAATAAACAGACGATAATTGCCGCGTAACTTTTAGTTTAAAGCCTAATGAGTGAATGACTTTCGAGTGCATCCGTAAGTTTAGTAGTCAATGTTTTTCAGACACAAATATTGTCCTCCTTAAATAGATGATAACTTACTGCTCTGTCAATTTAAATTGTAATTCACAACCAATGTAACGAAATTTATATCGTCGTTTCGTTATTTTAAATAACGCACTTAAATCATATTTAACAATTTGCTGTTCATTTATATTATTTAATACTTGAAAATAACAACATTGATTTGTTAATAAACATTTACCAGGATTTTGTATTAATGGTTTAATAACATAAGCATCTTGTTCAAATAAAATTTTTTCATATAAATCTTTTAATTGTTTTAAATCAAATTTAAGCATTTTTAAACGTCCTTGAACAATTGATTCAATCATCATAACTTGTCCTGGAAATGGTAATGTTGTTGAACGATATAATTGTCCAACAACAGATAAACAGTCTTCAACATTTGAATAAACAAATTCAAAATAAAAACGGTGTGGATCATAAATTATTGTATATGGTTCAATACGTCCATTAATTGCCATTAATGTGACGGATGAACAAATAAGTATTAAACTATTTGAATTTTTTTTATTTGTATTTGATGATGATACTATTGTTGAATCAGTAAGACTTAATTCATTTTTTCGACTATCTTCAAATTTTGATATTTGTTGATATGATATTTTAATCATTGGTGAACGAATATCATTCGGAACAAAAACAAGAGATTTTGAACAAATTTTTATACGACCTTTTATTTTTTGATCTTCATTTAATGTACTTTGACAAAGAATAGCATAATCTTGAAAATAGATTTCATTTGCTGATAAATTATATAATGAAAATGTATGCTGACGTACAGCCGATTCACGTCGTGCTGCCATTATATAGGAATTGTTTTATTTTATTCTAAAATACAATCGAAGAAAAAAAATATATATGAAATTTTTGTTGTTGATATGAAAATATTTTAAATCCAATATTCGTCCGAAATTAGTAGAACTATAAAAACAAACCAAAAAAAAAGACGAAAAATATAAAAGATAGTCAGAATTTATCATTCTTCTGGTGATGAATCTTCATTCGTACTCTGATCGAAATAATAACCGAGAAACTGTCGATTTAATAGGCTTCTTAATAATGCTGATGGACGTTGTAATATTGGTGGAGTTAATTGTTCCACATCAACAACGTTTGGTTCAGATGAACAGGATGATTTAGAATCTATTGTTTCATCAAACGAATGTGTCCAACGTACGTGTGCTTGAGGACTGTCCCACTGGAAAAACAAAAAAACAATTTTTGTTTCATGAAATTGACTTTTGATATCTTTATTCGAGATTGTAAAATATGAAAAAAAAAACATTCTAGGACAATGAAATTTTTTTTATATATTAAATTTATTAAACATATTAAAAATACAAAAATTCAAATAGGTTTCAATGTATAGATATGATTTTACCTTTCTATTAAAAGTCTTGAATCGTTGTTTTTATAGAAATGAAAAATATCAAATGATTTACATGGGTAACATTAATAAAAAAAAATTCTGTGCATTACTCTATCAGTAAACTATATTTTACACTTTTTTCTCTGTTCTTAATGATGATAACACCTATGAAAGTTGACAAAATTACACTTTTTTTATTTTTATTCTTATTTCTTATCACTTCATTTCTACAAGAGAAATAAAGTACTTATGAAAATTAGTCCACAAGGTTAATTTTTCAATTCTTTTCTTCATTGCCTTCAACGGTAAAAACAAGCGAATAAAGAAAATTACATACGGCAATCTAAATATAGTGACGGAGATACTTTATTTCTGTATTAAAACTTTGAAGAAATTTTATCTTTACTTGTAGTGATAGTAAAAACAGTGCTCTATTTTTTTTTCTGTGGTATTTAATCACTCTTCAACTATTATTATAATAATAAAATTTCAATAAGAACTGTTTGTTATAAAATATATGATGATAAGGTTAGATAGTATTGACTTCAATTTATATTCCCCTTTTGCTCTTTTCTTTATGGATGGAAGTGTAAGAGAAGAGTAAAATGAGAATTCATATCGAAGTCAATATGAAATAATGTCATGGTCATAAATCATAACAAACAGTTCTTATCGAAATTTTATTATTATAATATTACTTGACGAATGATCAAATATCACAGCAAAATAGGAAATTGTTTTTACGGTCACTGCATATATAGAGAAACTTTTCTCAAGCTTACTATATGGAAACAAAGTATTCCGCCACTTTTTTTTGCATTGCTCTAAATATTTTTAATAAAAATAAATGAAAAAAAGAAAAATAGCACGCTAAAACAAGTCATACTTTACAAAATGAGACTTTTCTCGCTGTCAAGGAAGCTTCGCTAACTGTCAATTCACTTCTCGGTCGAGACGGCGCTTTTTTTATGCCTGATGGTGAGTAATATAAAAGTCTAGAACAGTTTGATTTTTCCGAACCTTCATTCTTGAGATATCGAAATTTTACTGAATTTTTCAACAAAACGTCATGACGACGTCGGAAATCGACTTTCGATTTCCAACTTTCCATGACGAAAGTTCTTGATAAGATCAGTTAATTGGGCAAGCTATAACTTTTCTAGTATCTTCAATGTTGAGATATTCAATATTCGAAAGCTAAAACTTGCCCAATCAACTAATTTCATTGAGAATTTGTTTCGTGCAAAGTTTGAAGTCGAAGCTCAAAAGTGATCTGAGAGGGAGCAAAGGTTTCTGTTAAAAAATGGTGAAGAGGTTCTTTTGTAATATACAACAATTCTACGGACGACTCCAGCATTATTTTCGTTTTTTAATAAATAAATTCAAAATTTTACCGATGTTGATATAATATAATTTTCATACGGATGCCAAGATACATCTCGTATACATCTTTCACGACTTTCATGCATACGATCACAAATACGAAGACGTAGTTTAACAGTACCGGTAAGCACATCATAAACTAAAAGAAAGGTTAAAAAAAATGCCATCCATTTTTTTTTTACTTAAAAAGAAAAGAAGGAATTTAAAAAAATACGAACTGTTAATACAACCATCCGAAGAGCCTGTTATAATATATTTTTGTCCCGTTGTAAATGACGGTGAAAAATAACAACGTATTAATGTATAACGTACAGAATGACCACAATATGTACGAATACTTGGATCACCTGGTAAATCATATTTTTGAGCTAAACAAAATGAGAAATATTTATTATAATCAAAAACAAAACTTAGTTTTTACGTTTTGGCCCATAGCCATCATATCGATAATCCCAACCATTATCAGTATTATTTGATTTCGTACGAATTGTTTCTATCGCTGATTCATTAGCAAAATGACGCATATCCCATAATTTAATACTTTGATCTTTACTATTTGAAATTAAATATCTTGTATCCATCTATAAAAAAAAATGATATACAGTAGTCGCAAAAAGTTCTACTACTAGATAAAACCTATCTAAACTTTAATCCTTTACTTTCATAGTTTGACCTAGAAGGCTGACATAGATATTTCTTAGATTAGAATATCTCAACATAGAAAACAAATATCATGATATTAGACTTTTCTTTCGACAACTCAATGGTGCCTCTATCATTAATAAAAATGTTCATTTCAAACAGTATTCGTTTGCTAGATTTACGAAGTATTCTTTGGGCAATCTACACATGAAAGTTGATAAGAATCATCAACGAGTGACCAATATCTTCTACTCAGTTTTACCATTTGCTTTGAAATTTTTTCTGGTCAATGCTATATTCTAATTAGATTTTTCTTGAAAATTTCACCATTGCAATCATCAATGGAAAAAAAGGTCTATGCTGAGAGCATCCCAAACAATGAAGACTTTTCTGCGCTACAAGATTAAAGCGGATTGGAGTACTCTCTCTGTGACACAATATAGGCATGCGAATCCTTATTTGTTAATAAGAAAATGAAGATAGTAGTGGGAAACCAGAAAAACCTTTTTTAAGCCCTGGAGAACATGCCAGTGTTTCATCGTAAACTCGTTGTATTAAAGCCGATCGTCTAGTCTTGCTTTTTGCGATCAAAGTGAGCTGAATTCTGTTTATAGTCAAAATATCAGGTAGAGGAGTTCAAGTTTATGCACTTTTTTTATCCAGTTGAGAGACTTCTTGTGATTACTATATTTGATAAACTTACTCGACTATGTACAAAAGTAATTCCATTTGTATGACCAGCAAATATACCAACGGGTTTTGGTTGTAATTCATTTAATGCTCGTCGGTCCCAAATTGAAATAAGATTATCATCAGAACCACTAACAATTAATGAATTAGAATCATCAATAAAACGAACAGCATTTACATCATCTTCATGAGCTTGAACCTATTATAAATCGTATTTCATTCAAAAAAAACGTTCTTTCTATCTTAGTTTCAAATATTTACACGTAATGTTCGTCTCTGCTTATGAAGATCATATATATATACACATGTATCATTCGAACCACCAATTATTTCTGAACCATCAACTGAATATTGTAAAGAAAATATTGAAAAACTATGTGAATATGGTTGTAAATGTAATGGGATAATGTTTGTTTGACTTTGACTTTCATTTAATTTAATTAAATAGACTAAGAAAAATACATATTTATACTTCAATAAATTCTTTGGCTTGCTTACGACAATCAGACCATGTAGCATAGGCAATACTATTTCGATCAGGTGATAAAGCTGTGTCTAATATTGACCAACCCACTTCCTCGGCTGCAAATTCAGCTTGTTGACGAAACATTTGTGATGTTGTTGTATCATAAAGACGAATACAATAATCTAAAACAAAATATCAATTAAAAGAAAAAAAAACTTCAAATAACTCTATTGAATTAACCTTGACAAGCACTAAAGAAACGTTGTCCATCTTCAGAAAATTGTCCACAAAATGTTGGTCTTGTCATTGATGCAACAACTTGACCTTGATTTGGCAAAAAACTAAGGAAACCCGAATAAAAAGTAATACAGTAAAAAACAAAAATTTCAATAAAACAAAATACCTATCCATCAAATTATATCGTGCATTTGGATAACGATGAAAATTTATTTGACCAGTTTCACGCTGAATTTTTTTAGCATGTATATGTATTTCATAAAATAATTCATTTTTGTTCTAACCTGTTTTAAAATTGATATTACATTTTTTTTCTGATGAAGCTTTCTCGAACTTGTTTGACATGAAGATTTTATGGGATGAGCATATGTTGCATAAAGATCATTTAATGCTTCAATCTGAATATAAAATAAGGTCAAATAAAAAAAAAAAATTCATGTTTTACTTGGTCAATAGTTTGTGGTACAACACGTTCTTCATTTTTATTCGCAAGTTTTGACCCTAGATATCGTAATATATATATATAGATATATTTTTATAGACATTTTGTTTCGAATACCTTTAAACAAAGAATTTATTAGTTTTCGGTGCGCCATTCAAATTTGCATACAGAATCACGTCTAGATACTGCTAGATTTCTCCTGTTCTTTTCTTTTTCTTTGATCTAATGACTACTGTGAATGACTCATTCTATCAGTTCTACAACAACGAATCTATAATGGACATGTTCGTATCGCTTTATAACTAGATCAATTGAGCAGATGTTTGCATAGAAAAGTTGACCATAGCTAAGAACTTTATTGTTTCGTATTCTCGTTCGATTCGTTTTTATTTTTTTAATATCATTAGCTAGCGTCATCTCTATAATTGTGAATATAAACCTTTCACTAAAGAGGAAAGGTTTCCAAGTGATAAGTCGTTTTCAAGCTGAGATCTGGAATTTTGAGTGGGTTTTTTTATGTAGGGACCCACCTTTCAAACGAACTCGTACTTTTCAATTCTGACCTGAAATTTTACCCACATAAAGGCATTGATTAAACTGGTTTGTAGAAAAATTTCACATTCATTCACTAAGTCTCTTTAAGATATGACTCTTTCAAAATATTCATATTTTTTACAATAATCATGATAATGCGCCTATATTTTAGAAGACAAAATTAGACAAAGTCAGGATTTTCTATACCGCGATATTTGATACAACAGCTACTGAAGATGACTAACACTGTGATAAACGACACTTCAGCTTGTATAGATCTCAAATATCTTCGTAGCATTATTTGTTATTTACGAATCATCCTTAACAGTTTTCTGTAAGTCAAAATTTTGAGTGCAATCGAAGTTTGTTCTACGCTAGTATTTGCAAGAAAAGCTACAGTTTTCAGTGATCACATTAGATGTAATGTGCACTATTGTCTTTTTACACTTCGTATACATAGAAATGAAGAAAATGTTGTGTCCCGATATCTGCAAGATATCTTTTAATAACTTTTGCGATGGTTCTATCACAATAAGGTGACTTAGCAGCAATAATGAGACTTTAAAAGTTCCTCACATAATTCCGCGAAGTGCAATTTGTTGGATCTTTCGGGATATATCTGGTGTGAACTGCAGTAAAAAAACCTAAGTTTTTTGTGAGTTTTAAAAGCTTTGCTTAGTATATTAGGAGCCGGCTAGTACCGTAATTCATTGTGATTTTTTCAAAATATATTTTGGTAGTTGACCAATAAATGTCAAATGGTCATTACGACATGCGTTCATGCTCGATTAACGATATATTAAAAACATTCAAAAAAATATTGACTATTTTGACTTAATAGTTAGCACAATATTAATTGCTACATAGTAGTGAACTGTTATTGATGGAAAGAACATTGAACAAAAATGATATGCTAAATCTCTACTCATGACTTTATACGACATCTAAATAAAAATCTCTTTTATTTTACTATAGAGTGCGCTAGATAATATTTCAGTCCTCTCTCAATTTATTCATTGAAATCTATGATTGGTTGCATAGTTTATCGATTGGATTGTATAATGTTGTTTTTCTTCATTTCTTAGATGTTGCTAGTAAAATAAATATGGTTTTGATTTGAAATAAACCAATATTTGTATTCGTACATTATTGAATCTATAAGATTTTAGCTTATATAATTAGAATTCTTTAGTTAATGTATGATTTCGGACGAAATATTTAATTTTTCTGTTTTTTTTTAGATTCACGTCAGTGGACTTTTATCATCATGAAGTTGAACATCGCTTATCCTGTAACGGGTTGTCAAAAATTAATTGATATCGAGGATGATCGTAAATTACGTCCATTTATGGAAAAACGTATTGCTCAAGAAGTTGATGCAAGTTGTTTAGGAAATGAATGGAAAGGTTATACATTACGTATAACTGGTGGAAATGATAAACAAGGTTTTCCAATGATGCAAGGTGTATTAACAAATCAACGTGTACGATTATTACTTGATAAACGTCATAAATGTTATCGTCAACGACGAAAAGGTGAACGTAAACGTAAATCAGTTCGTGGTTGTATTGTTGATGGAAATTTATCTGTTTTGGCTTGTGTTGTTACAAAACGTGGTGAACAAGATATTGATGGTTTAACTAATAAAACAATTGCACGTCGTCTTGGACCAAAACGTGCTAATCATATTCGTAAATTATTTAATTTAAGCAAAGAAGATGATGTACGTAAATATGTTGTTAAACGACCATTAACAAAAGAAGGTAAAAAACCACACGTTAAAGCACCAAAAATTCAACGTTTAATAACACCAAGACGTATACAACGTAAAAGACATATGATTTCATTGAAGAAACGACGTGCTGAAAAACAACGTGTACTTCAAAATGAGTAAGAAAATGAGAATATTTTTTTTTGTTTTTGAATATTTTTATGAATTATTTTGTTTTGTAGATATGCTAAATTACTTCAACAATACGCTAAAGAAAAACGTGAACGTAAACGTAGTGAATCAAAACGTCGTTCATCAACACGATTATCAGAATCGAAAGCATAAAGAAACACTAAAAACAAATAAATTTTAGAAGAATAATCATTAACGACAACTACCGAAATGGAAACATACAAAAATATTGTTTTAGTTGTTGTTTTTATGTCATCATGGTTTTTTTCTAATTATGTTTTTCAACAAATAAACATCAAAAACATATGATGACAAACAGAATTTTTCTATTTGATGACAAGGAAAAACTTTGATTCTTTATTCATATAAAATTTTGAAGAATAGTATAACACTTAAATTTTGCTTTTTCATGTTAATCATCACAATTCAGAATCAGAGACTGCTAGCAACCTAAACCAGAACGAACATTTTCATTTGACAAATAAATTTTCTAAGCAGTACGAGGGCAAAATTTAGCATCTAAAATAAGTTTTTCCGGCAGTTAATGTAAATCATACAATACTAAATTGATGTTCAGTTCAATCATTTGTTGCTGGATTCAAATGAATTGATAAAAGTACTTTCGAATAGTAAGGCAATGGGTCAGCCGATAATTTCTAAAATGTAAGAGCCAGATCTGCAGCTCTGGCCAGGATGATAAAGTTCATTTGAATATCATATTAAAAATAGTCGTTGATCAAGACAGATAATCTTTTGTTTTAAAGCATTTCCATTCATGAACAATTTGTCTGAGATGAAATATTATGCAAATAAATCTTTTAATTCTGATAAATCGATGGTAAATGAAATATTCTTTTTTGCAGACTATTCTACTTTCTTTTGCTAAATAGCTTTTTTTCTATGAAATGCAAAGCTTCGAAAAAAGAAAATAATTATTTCGATATCATCAAAATTACGATTAACTCAAATTTTAATCACTCTCCGTTTACGTTGAAAAGCTGTCGAAATGAGGCTTGTATTATTCGATAGTCTACTGAGTATACTCAAGTCCCATAATGGTTCGTTTTCTAGTTGTTTCTTTTTTTCTTAAGTTATCATCATTAGACTGAGCTTTTTGGACTGGCATATTTTATGTCATAAAAACAACCCAATATCGAAGTTTTGGACCTGAAATTTTTCTGATTAAGAGGTCATACGATCTCTATCTTACATCTAAAGTTTTTAGCTGGAATGTCTTCTTTCTAAGATAATGAATACACAATAAAAGTAAATTTTTTAAAATCTTTGTTAAAATGTACGCACCCCTTGAATATTTGATATCCTACTAAGAAGATATTCATTATACATGAAAATTTCGGTGTATTATGATCAAGGACATAATACCTTTTCATAAGGAAAATTTCAGATTGAATTACGATATTGAATATAACTCAATACTCAGTAAAAATTATCATAATTTGACAAGAAAGCAAAAAGAGGATGCATCATTATACGCTTGACGTAGTCTGAATAGAATCTACTTAATAATAAAAGTCTCATCCGAAAAGCTTTATATTGTTTGAAGAGATTCTCTGGTTCGTTCAATTTTTTCAAATAAATGTAGAAGATATTCAGTTAACCTTCTATGTGTATCTTTTATATTGTGATTGTAGAGAAACTGAACTCAATTTATCAGTCAGTTTTATAAGCCACTTTCACCCATAATGTGAGCATAACATATTTTTTTCATTTGGTTTACTCTTTCCACTTTAGTGAAGATCATCAAATAGCCAGAGATAAATTCGATATGAATATTGAACACATAGATCATCCCATTTTATAATTTTAATCAGCAAGTATCGATTCATGCATTACAATTTGTTTTCACAAGTCCAGCAAAATACTCTGTTGATTGATGACTTCCATTTAGAGTGCTGCACGGGTGCACTTTTTTTCACCCGAAATCGGACCGGAGCTTTTTTCCGTACCCGTATCCGAACCGACCCGACAACTTCGTACCCGGACCCAAACCGAACCCGAATAACTTCACCCGGTACCCGACCGGCAGCCATTTATAAGTATAACACGCCCGACTACTATTATCACGTACAATCAATTTCAAACTTTATTTCATATGAAAAAATATACAATCTACTTAAATAAATAAACAAAAAAAACACTCATCTGAAATTACGTAAAAAAAATGTGGAAACCTCGGATTTAAATCCGAGTGTTATGTGTACTTCAAAAAGTAAAAACACAGAAGCAATTTCCGTTTAAGTATCTTTGCAATAGGTGACTTAGCNATTCTTCTAATTGATAACATGCAGTATAAGTTGATTCAAGATAACTTTGCATTCGTAATAAAGGTAAATGAGTTTGAAATGCACGTAGTGCTTCATCACATCCATTTTCTTTTAATATTGCATCACGTATACGTTCAGCAGCGGCTCGAACTTGTGGTTCATGAACATATTTAAAAGATTCAACTAAATTATCAGTAGTTAGATTTTGTCCTGGTAATGCACGTGGACCGACACCATTCTTTTCAATAACATTACCCCAAAAGAATTGATCACCAAAAAACGGTACAATAATAGTTGGTTTACCTGCACGGAGGCCAGCAGCAGTTGTACCTGCTCCACTATGATGACATACAGCTGACACTAAGAATAGAAAGCTGTTAGCCCAATTCTTGTGGAATTGAAACAATCAACGAGTGAGGATTATTCATCAATCGCTATACACATGTATAGCTACGTGACGTTCTCTTTCCTTTTTCCTTATTCTTTCTGTTGTTCTTCAAGCTTTTTTTTTCGTCAATGTACCGGCTCGTCTTCTTTTCTCTCTGTTAATTTAAGAACATTTTTCTTGTATACATCTTTCTGCAAGGAAGAAAATTATTCAAGACTTTTCGTTTTCTTCTTTTTGCATAAATTCTTTGATTTTACTCAACAAACTATTTATACGGTTCGTTTTGCTTGGTCAAAAAAAAGCATATTCTATCTAACTAATACGGTTGGAGAATTTGAAGCTCACAATAATAAAACAATTTTGAAGAAATTTAAACAAAAATCCTACTTATTGAACTTTAGGGCGGGAGATGGAGTGGACGCAAACTTGCACCTATAGTATGCTTCAACATTCCTTTTAGATTGTGTTTCACAAAAGTTTGAACAGATATATATTCAATATATTTGTAATTGAACTCACCATGTGGAAAAAGCCAATCATGTGAAACATTACCAATTTTCAAGGCATTTTTCGGTAATTTATCATCATCTTTCGCAAGACTAGATAATACTGCACGATAACCTGTTTTCTCAAGTGCTTCAAGTACGACTTGAAGAATACGTTCAGAATCATGTCCTGTAATTGAACAAAAACCAATATAGATTATTGGTGATAATGATTCCTTATGATAATAATGATTATTATTAAGGTCAAGAAATTCCACTAGATCACCAGGTTGTTTTGTGTCATCATTAGAATCATGATCAAGAAAAAAAATCCTGATACATTAATATGTGATGCCCAATCATCTGGTTTAGGAACCAGTGATGGTGAGGGTGTGGGTGGGTGTGGGTGTGGGTGTGCACTGGAAATTAATGCCAACAATTACATCCACACACCCACACTCACACCCACACCCACACCCACACACCCACACCCCTATAGATGCTTTCGAATAATCAACATTAACTAATGGATGCGAAAAAGTAGTTGTTAGTGACCATGGCATTGCAAACATAATAGGGTGTGGGTGTGGGTGTGGGTGGGTGGGTGTGGGTGTGGATGTTAGTCCCTTGCCTATAATACCCACACCCACACCCACACCCACACCCACCCACGCCCACACCCGATACAGTTGTTGAATTCGTTGTCTCTAGAATTCGAAAACGGTTTCTAAATCGCCTCTAATGATCCAAGCTTCGGAAAACTTTAGTTCTTTGAGTTTTTCCACTGTTTTTTTTAATAGCCTCATACTACATCTACCTCAATTTGAATACATATATTCGATTTCTATATGTGTTGCATGAAGAAAGGTTCACCTATTTAGACTAGTGCAAAAATATTCAGAATTTAGTTACTACGTAGACGTTCGAGTCTGTGTATCATTTAGCAATATCTTTTTAGCAACTTTTTTATTACAACTTACCTCTAAATGGATCAATTGGTAATTTCGATGATCTACCAGAGTAGTATATCATATTTCTTTTTCTATTTTTATTGCCGTAACAGCCTCTCCTATCTGACAGAAATAAGAAGAGAAAGCCTTCATTCGCTGCAGACAAGATTCCTCTTTCAGTCAATAGTTAAAGATGAACTGGCGCTTGAATGTGATAGAAAAATTCTCATTATGGGAACTGAGGCTATTGAAAAATGAGAAGTATCATTCTCGTCATTTTTAAAGATTCTATTCTATAATGAATTTTTCTTCCAGCTAAAGTACCAGTCCACTATTATTCTTTCTTCGACAGGGAAATGGATTGTGCGTCGAAAGATCACTGCTGAGGCTTCTAAATATGTGAAACATCCTGGTTTCCCAGAATCCGAAAGAATTTCAGAAGTCAGGTCTCTAAGAATTCGCTTAGACAGTTATGTTCAAATCAATGTGGCCCTTGCTTCGCACCTCTCAATATCAGAGCATTGGAGTAGAAGATCAAATTAATCTGCGTGGTCCCTAACAGCCTAGTCCCTATACTTTTCTCTTGGTCATTTTTGAATTTCGTTCAGAAGGATAAATGTGAATTTGGAAAGTTTTATTACTAACCTGTTGTTAATGACGAAAAGTATGAAACAAAGAGATCTTAGTTTGTGAAATACTATTGTAGTTTGCTTGTTTCTGTTCAATCCAAATATTAGGACGAATACCTATAGAAACCTGTGAAGTTTCTGTAAGACCAAAAGTGGCGTCAGAAGTGAACAGATTCATAAATACGCGTCGCATTTGTTACTGTTTTTTTTGGGAAAAAACCCAGTGAATAATTTTCTTTCGTCGTTCTGCATATACAAATTCACATACTTTCTTTTACGGACAACAAAAGCAAACAAAAAACAAAAGACACTGTAAAGCAAATATTTTTGTGTTCCTATTGAAAAAAAATCGTGCCTAAGATGAACGAGAGAAGAATCTTCCATTGGGGTGTGAATGGGTGTGTGGGTGTGAGGTGGGTGTGGGTGGGTGGTGCGAGTGTGGGTGTGGGTATGCGAGTGGATGTGAATGAACGAAACGACGACACCCACACCATAAACGGGGGTGGGGAATTTGACTTCTGGGTCAATTTTATTATTGCTATTTAGGCTAATAATTAATTAATAATTAGTTTTATTAATTTTCCTAAAAGTTTTACTGATAGGTAATCTGGGCCGAGGAATCCGAATCCGATATCAAGAGTGTGGGTGGGGTGTGGGCATGGGTGTGGGTGAGTGTGGGTATGGAGTATGGCAGTAGAAAATGGAAACATCTATACCGACACTCACACCCATAATTTAACACTCAGTTGCAACCGTATTTCACTAAATTAATTTCTAATACTATTTACACAGAAAAGAAAAAAAAACGAGGAGAAAAATAATACGAAAACGTCGTTTATTAAATCGAACACGCTTGTTTTCACGTTATCGAAGCGTGACAGTTTTTTTTGAAAACGACGTATTTTTAGGTAGTGGTGAAAAAAAGGCATTTTTTGTTCATTTTTGATTGCCTGGACAGGCTTTAGTTATTCATAAATAAAATTACATTTTACACCATTGTTCTTTTGTTTCATTAGTTCACTAAGATCAATACCTAAACAGCAACAATTTTTATTGTTACATATGTGCCCTGAATACCACCATTGTGATTCAGTTAATAAACCAGGATGATTATCTGTAACACGTATCATTAGTCCTGTACATACAATAGTGGAACTTGGATCACTGAAATCCATTAGATCTTTATTTTTAGCATCAATAACCCATTCAATAACATTATTGGTTAGATTCGGATCAATAGTGACTTTTCCATCAACCTCTAATGTTTCAGGTCCTACTACTATTATGTTATTCGGATGAACGCGACATTGTAATACAAATTGAACATATTTTCCATTTTTAAAAAAAGTCTTTTCATCTGATGATTGAATTCGTTTGATTTCAGCATATCTTGGATGAGTTGAGTAAATAATTGATTGACTTGCATATATTCCTTTACCCAGTGCTGCAATTCTAGCTGGTGCCAATCCACTCAACAAGATTGATAAACCATAATCAAATTTTGTACCATGATAACAAATAGACCATCCTTTAAACTTCTCATCATAATTATCGCTAACATCAAAAGCATGCCTTTTCCATCCAATGGGACAAAAATATGCATATTTACCACGATCTCGTCCATCCTGAAGAGCACCAGTCCAGTGTATATGACCTACATCATATACACGGTTCCATTGAGGATGAAGTTTAATCTCACTGCGAAATTTTTGTTTATCATTTAATGCCTTAATATTACCCATGAACATAAAGAATACTTTTAATTTGGCCAGTTCTTCTTGTACTTTCTCTGTCAATGATTTATATATTTTGTTGAGTGTCAGTTTAATATTGACTTTTTTCCCATCAATTAGTATTTCTAATATACTTGAGCCGTTCTGTAATTTTGTAATTTGTATGTCATTTGTATTTATACTAAGAATGCTACAAATCTTATTCAAAAACTCTTGCACATTGAATGTATTATAATCTTCGTCAATACCAAATTTGAGCGATGCTGACGTTAATTCGATATTATCAATAAAGATTTCATCAGACGTTGATATTAATGGTTTGCCTGTGATATGATAATATTGTTTACATTCTTGATAAAACGACTTTTCTTCCGATGACAAAGGTTCATCAGGCCACTTAGATTCTGAAACGAAGAAAAAAAGCATGTTAGTGGAGCCCATTTGACGCTGAAATGTGGAACTCACATATGTTCTCTAGGCTTACTAAACTAACACAAAATTCGTACAGTGAAAAATCTCTTGTAGACTATAGTTGTTTTGCAGGATTGGTTGGCAGTAGAAATGTCGAAAGGAAAAATGTCGAAAAAGCGAAGGGGAAAAATATCGAAAGGAAAAACACCGAAAGGGAAAAATGTCGAAAAAAATATACATTAAGAAAATGGCTCATTATTCTTGTTAGAAGATCTTGAAATAGAAGAGACGTTCTTTATTTTTTATGCTAACACTAACATATGTTAATAGAAAAAAAATGTATGAATTTTAGAAGAGCAACCATTGTATGTACACTTCCAATATTTAGTCGTAGTTGTTGTTTTGTTTAGTTCGAAAGTATATTCATTTGCTACTAATAAAGTTTTTCCTTTTTGTGATTTAATAAATGAAATACTCAATTTTGGTTGAGTTCCGTCATTTGAAAATACCGTATTTGTTGCCATACTATTATCACTTTAGTTATTTATTTACTTCGTATATAGTTGTTTATTTAATCTCTATCACTTATTGGTCATTTTTACTACTAGTGGTGAAAAATCTCGACTAGTACAATTATAAGAAAAGAAAACATGCATTGTTCGAATTTAGAGTTGTCATTTATGGGAGACATCGTTGTTTCTTGTATTTTTCATTTTTACATCTTTTTGTGTTAGAATTCATTTTTCGACATTTTTCCCCTTCGATATTTTTCCCTTCGACGTTTTTCCCTTTCGACATTGTGCCCTTTCGACATTTTTCTTTCGACATTTTTACCCTATTTTTTTTCCTTTCGACATTTCTACTGCACACCCTTTTTGTCTATTACTCACATCAATGTTGGAAAGATAATGATTCATCTTGATATATTGCAGTGACTAATGTTGACAATAAAACAAACGAAGAACGGAAGTGAAATCACTGTATCTACACCTGAAGAGAAAAGTAAACAAATACACACCAAATAAAAGTAATAGTTGATAGTCAATGCACGTGGAAACCATTTTTTTTTCTTTTCTTATACATCAACGAAAAAAATATATGTTTACTGTGTGTTCGATCATACTCGTAGTAACAAACACGACACCATGATGGTTAAAAAGTGGACCATATTTTGTTATAGAAGCACAAGAAAAAAATAGACTTCTGACTACATAGTTCTTTTTTCTTGCACTTATTTTACCCGACGAAATAAATAGTCTTATATAATTTCAGAAATTTGCTCTTTTTTTTTAATAAAAACATCGTGTGATCAAGCAATTTTCTTATTCTTACGTCGAGAAAATGCTCTTTGCTATGTTTAGTTTGCAGCGATGGTTTACAAGCGAGAAAGTAAGAGAAAGTTCTAAATCTCAAACTCGCCAGCAGTAAGAACGTCTTTTGTCTCTAGCCTTTGTTCAACCACTACCCATTATATATTTTTGAGGAGAACGTCGAGCATTTACCCAAACCATACGGATTAATTGTCTTGAACTTTGCAAAGCCAAGTATTGACAAATGGTTAACAGAGTCAATCTGGTCTAGAGCAAGGAGTCGTGCTTGTGCTGATGGTGGAAGCAACGAACTGCGACAGTTCACTCTTGAAAAAAAAGAAGAACGCCTTGGTCGTTTTACGCCCGATTTTATTAGTGGGGATTTCGATTCAATCAAGCCTGAAACACAACAATTGTATGAACAGGAATTGAAAGTACCTCTTATTGAAACAAAAGACCAAGATGCAACTGATTTCACCAAATGTCTGGAAGAAATGCAGAACAGAATGGGTACTGAATCTCTTCAACATATCTACACTTTCTGCACCTTTGCTGGTCGTTTCGATCAAGCAATGAGCATCATTCATACTCTTTATCTTTATCCAAAGCTACATATATATCTTATTTCTGACCAAGATATTACATTTCTGCTTAAGTCCGGGCTTAATCATGTTCATCAAATTCGATCATCTCTATGTGGTACATATTGCAGTTTGATTCCATTTGCCGGTCCTCTCAAAGTAGTAACAAATGGCTTGCAGTGGAATCTTAATGAAAATATGGAGCTCAATTACACTACGCTGATCAGTACCTCAAATGCTTACAGTGAACCGAAGAGCGATTTTGTGACTATTAACACTCCTGAGCCGCTTGTCTGGTCGATGACATTTGCCGAAACAGTGCGCTGATTAAAAGAGCAGTTTAACTCAACAATGTTATCAGGTTCTGTATTTCTTTTCATATTTTATTGAAGAATAACAATATAACATCATTTATTGAAGAAGTGAACAGTTTTTTGTTTTTGCGTTTTATTGTTACACTCTGAAGTGCTTACAAAAGGGAAAAAAGAAAAGGAAGGAATAGGAAGGAAGAAAACAAATGGGGTTAGGCGTCGTGATTCTCCTTGTCATAGGCGAGGTCTCCTTCTCACTTTCCTTATGTTATATAATCATTCAAAAAGGGGGAGGGGAGGGGGAATGACACACAGAATTCTATCCATACGCAAAGTCAATTCATTTGATCAATAACGTTTCATGCCTGTTCATCATTTTCTTCACTCTATTTAATCTAAAGAATTGGTCTAACGAGTCTTTTCCCCTTTTCCTAACCTGACTCCAGTAAAAAATGTCTTCTAAAAACGTCAATCGACATAAATCTGACTTGTACATATTCTCCAGTCTCTTCTTAATGTATTTCTGCGCGTAGAATTTAAGTGGTTTTTCATTTGTTATTACAAATAAATCATTTGCTTTTACATACGGACACCTATGTACTATTCTGATACCCACTCGGAATTTTCTATCCAAAGCTTCACGTTGTGTCTTCGGCAGGAAAGGGTAGACAGGAAATATCCGTGCCAAATAGGGAAAAACATATGCAAAGAAACATTGTTTTAATACCTGTTTCGCGATCCTTCTACCTTTTTTCAGCCATATCAGTTTAGCAAGTGCCTTTCCAGCTTTTTCGAGGCATTGATCAACCGTAGGTTTAAGCGACATTTTATTCGTCCACGTAAACCCTAAGTATTTAAAGGTATTTACTATCTCTATTTTTTTTCCTTGCATAAATATATTTAACTTGGGTTTTTCTACTTGAGTGTAGAAAACCTATCCAACTGTCTTTTGTACGTTGATCGGCTGTTTCCATTTACTTGCATATTCCGCTATTCTAGTACAGACCTTTGAACCTTCTTTTTCCAAAAATTCAATTGTTGAAGATAGATTTCTCGTCATGGGCGCCTTTACCAATATGCTTAAGTCATCTGCATAAATATGTCCTGAGTGCGCATCTGCACATTGATTTAAGTCACTGTGATACACTATAAAGAGGTAGGGGCTCAAGCTGCTACCTTGTGGTAATCCAATATCAATATGGAAACTGTCTGATCTTTCCTTTTCAAAGGCGATATAAGCCTGACGGTTCTTTAACCACGATAGGGTCAGTTTCAACAACTCTAAAGGCATTCCTAGTCTAGATAATTTTACCAACAGACCAGCATGCCACACAGTGACATACGCTTTTTTAAAATCCACATACAGAACAAGCGTAGGCATATTCGCCGCAAGACTGTTCTTTATTTCGTGGTATATCGACAGAACTCTAGTACTTAAGAGTCCTCCCAGTCTAACACCTAATTGTTCGGTCGGAACTAGATGAACTCCTCCCGCCCAGATCCTTACCCTTTCAAGTACTACTTTTTCAAACAATTTCGAATAAGTCGGCAGGAGGGAGATCGGTCTCGTCTGATCGGTTCTCGGTACATCGGCTTTTAATTTGTTCAAGGTTACCACTTTCGCCAATTTCCAAAACTCTGGATACTGACATCTTTGTAACCAAATATTAAAACACTTCATCAGGCATTGAATATATGTTGGTGGAAGTATTTTGATCATATAATTGGAAACTTCATCGTACCCGGATGATTTCTTGTTCTTCAACTTCCTAATCAACTTTTGCATTTCCAGTACAGAGATCGGTTCTAGCTTGAGCGATGTGGAAGATGTAACATCATTCACGATTAGCTTATATTCATCTTCCACTTCACGATCGTGTTTATCATCGTTGTTTATGGGGGGAGTTTTAGCTTGTTCTGTATAATAATCACAAAGCGCCCTCGTTACCTCTTGATGATCAGCTATAGTACCTAATCCAACAGCTAATTTTGATAGAGGGAGAGTTTTCGGCTTATAAATCTTCGATAGATGAGACCATAAGGCATTCCCTCGTACATCATGGGAGTCTTGTATGGTCGAGAGAAAGCTTTTCCAACAGTCTGATTTATATTTATTTATTTCATTTTTAACAAATCTACTCATCATCCTTAACAACTTCCTGTGATCATAGATGGTGTATTATAATTAATACATGACAATACATGTTTTCAATGTATAGTAGTAATACATATCCTCAACTACAATCTTATCGAGCAACTATTCTTTATATATAATTAAAAAGAATAACAAAAAAAGTACAATATTGCGTTTCTTTGTATTGAGATATCGATTGAAAATGATGATATTTGAATGCTTAAATAAAAAAGAAACCATAACATTCTATTTTACATGTAATTCTAATCATTATTATCAAACAAATAATAATAAATAAATCAAATAATATAATTGTGCTCGTCATTACAAGTCGCTTGACCTTCGACAGAACCCAATCTAATTATCATCTATCATTGCCTCATGAATTTTGTTTGGAAAACTATCGCTGAATACATGTGCATATACAAAAAAAAACTACATACTATTGTCAATGACGACCACTTTGTAGAAAGACCAGACTTTTCCATTTTCTGTGTGAGACTTTCCAAAGTGAACCGTAAAACGCAGCTCGCACTCAGTCATCGGCGTCCCTTCGGAACGCTATCTCCGACTGCTCAATTTCGTGTAAGATACGAGCATTATTTGAAACAGTGCTTCATTTTCTTCTTAATCATTTGGCTGTGGGGCTTTTTGAGAAAAACTCTTAATGTTCTTGGTCATTGCACACAGCAACTTACATTTCATTTAAATTTTCTTGCAAGAACTTCTTCTGTCTGAAGCAACAAATCCAGCTTCTATTTATTCATCATCGTTATTCTTGGTTCGTAACTTCTTCTTATTGCTGTGTGTTTATTGGAATAAAAAGTGGTATTACTGCACTGAGTTTTTTGCCATTTAAAGATAGTTTCAACCGATGACACTCGATTGATAGAGAATTTTTTTATGGATTCTAGCGGCCTAAAGCGTACGTTCGCTAAACGTAGCAAATCATCGGCTAGTCATTCGTCAGTGCCTCTACGTGATAATGCCACTCACGGCTAGTCGTTTCCATGATTTAATGTACCTTTGCTTATGCACATGTAAGATTAATTCATTTAATAAGAGAAATAAAAGATGGAAATGACTCAATCAATCATGTATGACATATTTAGAATAAATTTAAAAGAAATCGTCATTAAAGAATGAGAATGATAAATAGGATAAAGCAAAAAAAAACATGAAAGAATGTCGAATTTAAAATCGATACGACGTATTGTAGTTCGTCATCAAATCAATCAATAAATAGTATTATCAGTCAAAAAAAGAATAAAATTTCCTTTACCAAGTGGTACTAAACATCGTCAAATAACTTTGAAACGATCGTAATCAATGAATTAACACATGATGATCTATTCCGTTATATATTTTTCTCTATTGATCATTGCTTGATTTGCACAATATCAGCATTATTTGACGAAGCTCATAAGTCTCATTTTTTCGAATAAAACCTTCGACTGTGATTTATATTAGATATTTCATTCCTCAAGATGAAAGCTTTTGTCATTTCTTAGGCACTTCCTATGATATTCATCAAGATTCATCAATATTAACAAATACACAACAAATTCAGAATTATCTAAATTAACAAATGAAAACTCTTCTTCCAATTAAGTTCGATATATTAACATCTTATGCCAGCATGTCTAATTATCAAAAAATATTTCTTAAATATTCTAATCAATTTTATTTTTTTTCTGGCGTTTTTTGTGACGATTCACGTTTTATAAACTAGTTTAAAAAAAACGACAGGATCAAATTTTTTTAAACTAGTATGTCTATTCGTTGATTGAAAATCCAAGAACCAAAATTATTCTCTCATATACATTATCTTCTTTTATTCTCTATTGTATTTATTAATATCAATACATGTTCAAATCGTATTTGTTCACCTAAATAAAATAGATGAATCAAAATTAGTTTTTTTCTTCGTCAATTCAAAAAATACATGCATTTCTTGATTCTATCGATTAATCATCATTTCGATATATGACATATTAAGTACTTGATTCATCGTTCAATTAATTTCAATCAATATGTTATCAACTTGTTTGGAAATCAACTCCAGTTGAAATTCGACAAACTATTCAAAAAGAACAATTCCCTGAACAAGATCAGTCTTTAGTAAAAGTTTGTCATGATGCATTCACTTCTATAATGCCATACTCTATAGGTGGCACACATCTTCGTTTTTGGAATAGGTAACAAGTGAACGGCCATTTGGTGGAATAGTGGCTGGAATGATTGTAGCAGCACTTAGTATAAATATTATTGGTCGTGCTCATATATCTGTAACTATTGAAAAAAAACTCATTTGATGGGGATGCGTTAGATCTGTTTGGTTTTTTCAGAAGAGAATGGTCAATGTGACATTGTATAGTTAGTGGAGCATTCTTGGCAATAGTGATATGCATAGCTGTGGCACGAAAATATACTGTGAACAATGTTCGACAAAATGGATTTTTTTCAAGTATCACAAATTGGTCGCTTATGTATCAACAGATACGTATAATTCTTTTATCAAGCCATTAGAACTATTGAGAATTGGAAGTAAATCAATACGATTAATATCTATTTATGACAAGTTTTCTATCAAGATTGACGAGCTTAAAAAAAGCGATTCACAATAATCGAGAAAATAATTTCATTTCATTTTGTATCATTGAAAATGCGGATATGTTCTATTTTTATTATAAGTATAAATAGATTTGTTTAGTGATTGACTTTTAAGGCACAGGTAAATACAACATTCGATAAATTAGTTGACTGCCATCGATTGTTCGATCTGAAAATATTTAGTTTCATGTTAACGGAACTTTCGGAAGTCTGATTATACTTGATCGTCAATGTTGTTATTCCGTTTTCGGTATTGAGCAAGCGCTGATTCACTTGCATAACAACTGCATATGTAAAAACTCGTGAGGAATTATAGCTGACAATTTATGATTCAATTATCTAGGTCCTAAACTTTCACACTCAATTCGTGCATTCAAAGTACGGTGTTCTGTTCTCTTAAAGAATATGAATTTATTAAATTAGATGAGAAGATCGCTGAAAAGGGTGTGACACCCATACCCACACACCCCACAACCTTCCAATACAGTGGTAGCGCATGGATTATTTTCGTTTACCTGTCAAGAAAACAAATAAAAAACGACATAATTTCGTAGCAAATTTTATCGAAATCCTTTGTTGAACACATACAAGACATAAATGCAGTACATAATGTAACATATTAAAAATATATTCTTGATCTGTATTCAATTTTCTATCCTTCTTTTTTCTTTGCAAGGATCGGAAGCAGCAGCAGCTACTGCAGTTGTCATGGTATTTGGTTGTTCACGGATGCTTGAGGAAGAACAACGTATTGAATTCAAAGCTGATCGACCATTTTTATTTTTCATTCGTGAAAGTCGACAAAATATTGTTTTATTCAGTGTCAAATTCCTTTCATCACCGATGGCTTCATGAATCAACTATGTATGTTCGTTTTCATATGCCATATGCACACATTTATCATAAGTAGACATAAAGATATATTATATACTAATCAAATTATATTTTAGTGTTCATTTTTGAGAAGCTCGAAATCTATCTAAAGTCGAAGTTCATAAATAGCTTAAACAATTAATTGGAGGAATTCTTTAACTTTTAGCTACAAGCATAATATTGCCTGTGAACGTATAAATATCGATTATGTGAAAATGAAAACTTCGTTCATCTTATTATTGTCTCTGTCATGGCAGAATAGCGACATTGATCGACATATATCCACAAAGTATTGTGTTGAGATTTCGGTGCCAGCAGTCATAGAATGGGTCTGCATAAGCCATTGAGGGGTATTTTTCTCGAATGATTTTTCCGATTACTTACTGACTATTCAGGTAAAGAAGGTACGGCGGAGAATGATAAGACCTCTGGAATTTTCGGCAGCTAGATTCGAAATTGATTTCACCTTCAGTTTTCTGCTCAATTCGTGTCATTTGCTGCGCTCGAAAACTATATCCAGATTCATTTATCACTTTCGACTCGATTCTGAACTAAGGATACGTTGATAGTATTGCGGACGCATTGTTATTAGATGTGATACTCGAAAAGAACATGTTCATAATTTATCTGGTTTAGAAAATTTATGAAGCTAAAGTAAATAAGAAACCAAAATCTGCTATCTCCTCAAATCAACAGAAATTCATAAACAGTAATAGAACTGTGAACATAATTTTATTGACTTATGTCGAATTGAATTTATGTTCTTACACTGACGATAATATAAGGAAATTTGAAGTCTACAGAACTGGAATAAATACACAATCAATTTTCAAATTTGCTTTAAAAACAAAGAACTATGACGTAGTTTTTGTCTAATCAATGGAAAACAGACATATTCTGAGCTAGCATTGTGGACACTCTAACAATAGTGAACAACTTTTATCAAGGAGAAAATAACTAAATCAACTGAATTCATTTGTAGTCATAAAGATTTAGGTTTCGTTCAATATATGAGACTGAAGAATACGTATTTATTATCAATTAACGATCTTGTATATGCCAAAAAACATTGCAAGATGACAACAAAATTCGATCTGATCACTGATACTGGTGAAACTCGTTTTCATTATCTCGAAAAAACCGAGTTCTGTTTTCAAAATCGTCATTTTATGAAGCAAATTGAGGACGAACAGAAGTTCATATGGAAGTTTCGAAAAAAAATTGATCATACAGGAAGGTTAAACTTTGTAAGAATGTTTCAATGAATATCGTACGACTCTCCGATTTTCAGCTCACCATGATCGAAAATAGTGATTTTGAGTTGTTGGTCAAGGAAAAAGAACTCGCGACGAACTATTGTAAAGTTCTTGCCATCGTAGAAACCAGAAAATTCGTGGAGGACTACATAAGTGGTGCGCTTCGTACCGCATTAAAATATGTTTTCTTACACAAATGATAATTTTATGGTTAATACGTATAAAATTTACAAAAAAGTCTAATAGTTTTTCAAAGAAGGTCACAGCAAAATCTCTGACTATGACAGATTGTGATTGTCAGAAACAGCTGATGGTTAAATTTCTATTTCACGAAAGGAAAGTTTTTGTTTTCCTTTTTTTCACAAACCTAGTACATCTGAAAAATGACATTAGCAAGTTCTTCACTTCATTCTTCTTATATGTCATGCAGCTTTTAAGGAAAACACTTGTTGAGATGATTATACAAGGGATAAAAATCAAGAAAGACTATTTATTAATCCTGAATTTTTAGTTAACTAAACAAATAAAAATTTTATTTTGCATTCATCATCTTTTGATACATATCAACAATATATTTTTAAAGCAAATGACAATAATTAAAGTAAAAAGAAAATGAATATACATAGTTGTGCAAAGTATTTCAATGATATGCTTATTTCAAAAGATTGATTATTCCTTATATGAAGTAATCAAATCTAGATGAATTGGATTCAATCGTAGAAAAACAGAATAACATGATCTACACCTTGATTGAAGTTCAAAATATATATACCTTTGCAACATCCATAGAAAAGATAAGGAAAAAAAAAGAAGTTATAAATCACTTGACTTTAATCAGTATACTTTCAAATTTTTTCTTTGTTCTTTTCTCATTAGATTTATTCTTTCACATATCGTCGATGGTAGATTATTCATTTATATTTCAATACAAGCATGAGATCTTGCGTGACATATAGCCGTTGTCTTTTACATTTACTACTACCTATTCTCATTGTATTTTCTCTACGATTTTTCCCTTGTCTATCATCATCATCAATTGAAGTATCATCAAAAAATTCTCTTAGTCAATCATCAGTGTCATCCATAAAATCAACAGTTGTAAGTACTAAATCTTCAAAATGTCAACCATTTAATGTATCTGATACTCGACCATTTTTTGAACGTGAACCCCCTCAATTAGATCTACCTCGACATATATCAAATTCAACACGTAATAATCTTTATCATCGAAGCTATAGTTGTATGTGCACATAATGCTGAAAAAGTTGTAGATAAATTTCAACACTATGTCGAATCAATTATTGATTTATTTCATCCATCATCACGTATTGTTATTATTGAAAGTGATTCAAAAGATAATACATTAAGAAAACTTCGTCAATGATCTCGTGCTCAAATTCATACATATGGTAATTTATCAAAATCTATTCCAAAACGTACAGAACGTATTGCATATTGTCGAAATAAATTATTAGAGAAAGCTCGCCAATTACATTCAGATTATATGCTTGTTCTTGATATAGATATATTTGCGACAAATGTAAATTTTTTTCTTACTAATTTCGAGTATGATACTAATGATTGATCTGCTATGACAGCTAATGTGATTGGACAGTACTATGATATTTGGGCATTACAAACTTTATCAGAAACAATACTTAATTATGGTGTGGCATCAAGTATCGTCAATGAGATCTATTAGCAATTACCGTTAAGATTTGTTAGCAAAAAAACATACTTGATATTTATAAAAAAACCATTTCCAATTGAACAAGGTCTTTTAGAAGTTCGTTCATTATTTGTCGATGCTGGATTATATTAAACGGATTCCACTAGAAATTGTTATTATTCTGGAGAATATAATGCATGTGAACATGTTTCATTTCATTTGTGTTTGCGAGAAAAAATCAAGCAAGAATATTTATTAATCCAAAGTTTATACACCAACGGTGTTCAAATATAAAATAAGTTTTTTTTTTGTATTTTCGTATTAAATAAAAACATGTATAAGCCATTTTTAATTAAATGTATCTTTTTTTATAAAAATAAATTATAGAGCTAACTGCTAGAATGTCACAAAAAGCCATAGATAGTTTTTTTTATATTGATATATTAATTGATTTGTCTATTTTTTTTTACATGAACTGCAAACATTGTTAAGCAAATAATATTCGAATTACATTTTATTATAAATAAATTTGTTTTCTTCAAGGCATAATTTGATAATATGAAGTTGAAAATGTTTGTTTATTTTATATAAGAACAAATTAGAATTATTGAATCATAGATGAATTTGAACAAAACTTTATTTTACACATTATCAACATATCAGATTTTATAGTTTCAAGATTATTCTATCCGAACGTACTTTTTTCAGATTCCATTCCTCTAATTAAAATTATTTTAAAATACCTTTTTGTTTTATTTTTGCATTTTCACAGTTGAAAAGTCACGCTAAAACAATCATACTTTCAATTTTAAGTGTGAAAATATAGCCTTATTTTGTCTAGAAACTTCCATGTTCACTTTTCTTTTTTTTCTCTACACTTATTATATGGTTACAAAACTTCCTTTTTAGACTCAGTAGAAAAAGTCTAAGCTAGAGAAAGAAAAAACGAGAAACTTTCTTTCTCTTGGCTAAAAATGTTAAAGCAGATGTTAAACGGTGAGACAGTAATCAAAAGAGAGACAGAGTTCTTTTTATCTTCTATCTTATCAAGTATTCTGCATTTTTTTCTATTTCCGTGCTCTTTTTTCTTTCACTCTCTACATTTTATTCTTCATATTTTGTCGTATATGCTCCTTTTCTTAAACGTAAGATGCATTTCCCGTCTATTAAATATTTTCTAACAAAAAAAAAAAAAAAAGAAAGCAAACGTTAATGACAAGGTTATGCTAAGTTACTAGACATAAAAGCAAAGAGAGTAAGAGTTATACTTTCATAATAATCAGAAGAGAAGTTTAGAACTAAATCAATCGGTATGTAAACAAAGTATTGAATGAAAAACTTCAATTTCATATTTGTTTACACATTAGTCCTATTAGAAAAACAAAGTTAGTTAGATCTTTTTTTCGTTTTATACGATTGTTCTTCTTTTTTAACATGAATGCATAAGTTAAGTGACAAGAACAAGATACTTTTTTTGCTTCATAAACTTTTTGTCCATAAACGTTAATCAATTTTTTTCATACTTTTTCGAATTATGTATTTTTTATTTTTTATTTAAAAGACTAAAACAAAAAAGAAAATTTGCTCAAAACTCTGTTTCTCTCTATCGACGTCGTTGATAAATTATTTTAAAATATAACATAAAAAAGTCAAATTTTTGGTAAATTAATTAAAAAAAAATATGACCGTTGATCCTATTATTCAAGCTGAATTTGAAAGAAATCTTTCATGGAAACGTTCATGGCCACGTTGTTTGCTTGGATCAATTGCAAGTATTGAAGCTTTTATTGGAGTGGTAAGTTATATTTGTTTTTATTTATTTCATATCTAATCTTAATTATTTAGATCATTTTGCTAACTGAATGTTGCAATATTTTAATGGATTTTTGGCATACAAATATTTTCGGTGGTATTTGGGCATCCATTATAGTTTTTATTAATGTAATTGTAATCTATGCTACAGGTAGATTTCGAAAAGAAAAATAAGATAGTAGGAAAAGTTTAACAACAATGTATTATTCTATAATATTAAGCAATTAGTTCAAATCTAGATAGTGATTCTAATAGTCAATACAGTCTTCTATCTAATGTACTACATACCAAGGTTTCATATGAAAAGGCTTCTAAAAAACCAGACATTGTAGTGTTCAGGTCGCAGAAGTTATTTCTTAACAATTTCATTTCAAAGAGAACAAAATGAGAGGTTGCTGGATTTTCCATGATCTTTCTTCAAAAAGTTAAACGTATCAAGAAAACCGGTTTTTTAGTCTATTTTTTACGGTTTTTGTGATTGTTAAAATTTTTTAATGGAAGATCGTAGAAAATTCACGAAGCTCGCATTTTGTTCTCTTTAAAATTACACTGTTAAAAAATAACTTCTGATACTTGAAAACTCAATGGGCTACTAAAATCGCTAGTTAGACTTGAAATAATTGCTTAACATTATAGAAAAATATGGAGGTGTTAAACTTTAGGTCGACCATCTTATGTCTATAAAATGATTGATGATTTTTTTTCCAAATAATTTTAGTATGTTGTATAACAACAATTGGTTCATCAACATGTGCATTAATTTGGAATTTACTTACGTTACTAACTTTAGGTACCTTAATTGCATTTGATGTCATATTTATTCTAAATCCAGATACATGTTTTTTAACACCAACATGTTCAACACAATCACAAATAATATCATTAAATTATATAATGCAAATGATTCCACCATTTAAAAATTATACAAGTTATGATTCAAAAAAAATTTTTCTTGAAATTCAAGTTGGATGTGCTGGTAAAAAAAATTATTATTTTTTTTTCTATCTTTGATTATATTTATTCTCTTTTGAATATAGGTGTAGCTTGCATTATATCTTTCATTTATATTGTTATTTATATTGCATGTAAAATGAAAATACATCAACGTGTTGTTCATGATTATTCAGCACCTGTTATTGTTCATCCACCGCCTGTTCCTATTGCTCATTCATCACCTATTGCTATGGCTCCACCATCACCATATCATCATTATCCTACATTTCCAGTTGCTGACGCACCACAAAGCCCTTGGATAAATCAAACAAATAATGTGCCATATCCACCATATTAATTGAGCTAAAGAGATACTTTTGAAAAAAAAAAAGAATTCTAAATGTTGTCAAACTTGCATAATTTATTATTTTGCTTTCATCAAATAAAAGAAGTAGTCATGAAAAAATTTCTCTTTAATTTTCATATATACTTATATTACACTGAGGATCAGTTCTTTTGGTTTCTTTTTTTTTTTTCATTACTGTTGCTCGTAACAGATTAACGACGAAAATAACGTGACACGTTGATAGTAAACGATATGATTTAGTCGTATCAAATTTTTATTTTTATTTTTTTTTTGAGATTCTCTTTGATAGAACATATACAGGTGTATTCATATAAATGAATGCTTACTCAAAAAAGTATTATGAAGCATAGAATAAGCAAAATGAGAATAAATGTTTATTGACAAAAACCGAGTACAATTGGTAGCTGCATCGATTAGCTTCTTTCGCATGTACTGCCAATACATTTGTGACTTGCTTGACAGAAACAGGAGAAGAAAAAAAAAGCCGACGACACCAGTATAAACAAAAAGTCGTTTGTTCTTTATTCTTTCTCGTATTCGCTCTCTGATGGACAGCATATTCTTTATTTTTATCGGAGTATCTTAGTGAGCTGTAATATATATTTATCGTTTTTCTTCTTATTATAAGCAAGCCAATTTTTTTTCTAATAATTGAGCTGTGCATACGTAAAACACAAATCACCTATGAATCTATCAGTTCTTAACTAGATATAAGGGAAAAAAAGCACAGGTATGTAACTAAATATAAAAACAAAACAAAATGTATCCACTAATTTTAGTTATATATTTTGTAAAGATGTCCTTGTAGTGTAGATTATTTCATGAATTCATTTCATTATCAGTTATTATCATTATTATCCATACAGATATGAAATTAATTAATTCAATTATCTATGATGATTTTTTTCGTTTATTTATTATAACATCACTTGTATGTGGATTAGAATTTTGTACAGCATCAGCATTTACTTATATTCCACCACTATTACTCAAAGCTGGAATATCAGAATCATTAATGACATGGTTAATGGGTTGTGGTCCTTTATTAGGTTTTCTTCTTTGCCCGGTTATTGGTCATGCTAGTGATCGTTGTCGATCTCGTTTTGGTAAACGACGTCCATTTATACTTGGATTTTGTTTAACAATTATTTTATGTCTTATACTCATTCCACAAAGCGAAGCAATTGGTAAAAATTAAAAAAAACAAAAGCTTTAAAGATTTAATTCAAGGTTTCTTTGTATTTTGTTCTCCTAGGTGAAATTATTGACGCACCAAAAATAGGTATTGGTCTATTAGCAATAACTTGTGTTCTATTTGATTTTGCTGCTCAAGCTTGTTTTAATCCATGTGAATCATTAATTTATGATATTTGTAAAGGTACATCTCAAGAATCTTCATGTTTTTTTGTTTATTCATTTATGACATCATTTGGTAAATAGAAAAGAAATTTTATTTAAAAAATGAAAAAAAAAAATAATTATACAACTTTTTATTTGATTATTCATAAAGGTGGATGTTTAGGATATTTAATTACAGCAACTGATTGGACTGAGTCATATCTGGGTCATTATATTCAAGGACAAGAAAAATTAACATTTATTATTATTTTATTATTTTTTTCAATAACACTTTGTTGTACATTAATATCAGCTAATGAAAAAGTTTCATCTTTTAATGATTATTCTGATGAACATTTAACTAATAATCATCTATGGACTTTTCTAGCTCCGATAAAACTTTTAAAAACTATTTTTTCTACAGTGTCGAATTCAGTTAGAACTATTATTACGATGCCATTTGTCTTACGTCGTTTAACATTAGCTGAATGTTGCTCATGGTTTGTTTGAAACAAAAACAACATTTTTGTTTTCTTTTTAAATTAATCGTTTTGTTTTCTTTTAAATTAAATAGGTCAGCTATAATGACATTTAATATATTTTTTACGGATTTTGTTGGTCAAACAATTTATATGGGTGATCCAAACGCAGCTGAATCATCAGAAGAACGTCTAAGATATGATCAAGGTATACGTGCTGGTTCATATGGTTTACTTTTTCATTGTATTGTTGGTGCAGTTTATGCACCATTACTTAAACCATTAATTAATCAATTTGGTATTCATTTAACATTTTCATTCGGGATGTTCGTTTTTGCTTTATCTATGCTTGTTATGTATGTATCAAGAAATATAATTATTGTTAATATAATGGCATCATTATCCGGTCTTGGTATGGCATCATTAACATCAATACCTTATACACTTGTTATGATATATCATGCTAATAGAGAAGTAAGATTATTAATTTAAATATTCAATATTTTTCTTATTGTTATTGATTTTCATAGGTATACTTTGCTGATAATCAGAAAATACAAACACATGGCATAGGTACAATATTAGGTATACTTGATAGTACATATTTTGCATCACAAATTCTTTCATCAACAATTATGGGTTATATAATGTTGATATTTAAATCGCCTCTTTCATATATTGTAACAAGTTTTATACTTGCTATTTGTTCTATTTGTTTCATTAATCGTATTGTGATAAATCGTCATCAACTACAGGAGTTAATCCGTAGCGGTAAATAAAACGCAATTGTTTTTTTTTCATGATATCATATAGTAAAAAACGAAAAAGATGAATATGACAGTTTAGGAGAAATGGATGTTTAAGAAATAAATCGATCGATACTGTGTAAAGAAACAACAATATTTGTCATGAATGTATGAAGTTGTCTTCCGAATTTTAATACAGAGTATGCGAAAAAAAAAACAACAGATCAAATATTTGATAGGCATATATTAAAAACAGTAAGATAAATATTTATAAGAGTAGAAAATGATTCAATGCCATGTCTTGTACGTAGTCAAGAAAAAGAAGACATAAAATAACGAATAATTTTGTATAAAACAACAAGTCTATCAACTTTTTAAATATAATTGTGAACAAATACGTACATTTCTACTATCTTCTCTGTTTAAGAATCAACTAAAATCTATTAATGAGGAAAGGTCTTCAACTGATCCATGCTATTTTCAATGATATTTTGTCTATCTGTTAGGAATATTATTCTTGGAAAAATCCTAAGAGAATTTGGACTGTCTTCAAAAGTTATGACTATTTTGCTGATTTTTTTTTATCTAGCGCAAGGTACAATAAAGAAAATCGAACAATAGAATTTCATTTCGATAATTTGCTAATATGTAGTTCTCATGATCAATGGAAAAAAAGACAAGTTTTTAAGAATTAATATCTCCAGAAGAAAACATTTTTTCCTCCAGTGAAACATTTAGAATGTTCCAATGACAATAACAACTATATATTAGCAAAATTTCAGGTTGAAATTCTATTGTTCGCTTCTTTTATATATACCTTTTGATGATGATGATAAGCACTCAGTTAAATGACAATAATTTTCGAAGGAAGTCCAAGCTCTCTTAGAATTTTTCTTACGATAATTTACCCAACATATGGACAAAATATCATTGAAAATGTCATGGATCAGTGAAGGGACCGTTCCTTGTAAGAGATATTTGTAGTAGGTAGTGATATCTCAAATTCTTATAAATATTTCTGGAATACAAATTAGACACTGGAAATATTTAACAAATACAGTTTAATATAATAGTCATTCCCCTCTAAAATCGACTTCGTGTCAAGTATATTCAAATCGCATGAATATTTTTGAGGTTATGGTAAAGGTTTTAGCTCTATGCCATGACATTGGAAAGAGATATTAATTAAACAAAAGTCTAAAATAACTCATTTGGCAGCCCAAACGTCTCAGTCAACCCTCGTTCTATATATTTAACGAGTTTTTTTCGTGAAAGAACATGTTAGGATACACGGTATGACAGACTCTTTTTCTTTTTAAATCGTACTTTGTATATGAAAGAAAAAGAATAACAAGGTCAAAGCCTACAAGAAAACCCAATAAAAGTAGGAAGGGAGGTTTATTTCTTTAAGTACCTCTGTATATAATAGAAAAGAAGCGTAATTAAAAAAACGTGTCTCTGTCATTCTTGGCATCTGGCACGCTGTATCGCGTAACAGAAAAAAAATTAAATATATACGATGGGAGTCTCGACAGAGAATTCTAGATTGCACAGTCAAGAACAGCATAAACAGAGAAAAAACAAAAAACATTTTTTTAACAGAAATTTTACGATATTTTTAGAATATTTTTGGCAGATCCGAAGAGAATAATCACCAATAACCATATATATTTTTGAATTGTATATAAATCAACCTTTTTTTGTGGATTGTTGAAATAAATGACTTTTTTTATCTACGATATGAATATAGAGAGTCTGCTCGAAAGTGTTCTACTAGAATTAATATCACAAGAATTTTGCGCTCCGATGAAAACTAAAAATGTAATTATGATTGATAAATCGTCATTCGAGAGAAAGAGATGAAGGACAAAATGACGTAATAATAAATGACGGATTGTTATGATATGTGTCAATTACACCAGATCAACTCATTTTTCAATGTTTTCCTTTGTATTACTCTTCTTTTCGTTTTCTTATTGTCATTGAATAAGGTTTATCCAGGGAGAAAAAAAAGCGTATTTGTCTATTTCTATGCATTTCCAGATATTTCCATGCATTACTAAGTATTTGAAAAGACATAGAAATACGAGAATACATAAATAAACTTTTTCTTCCATTAGGTTTATCAGTTCCTTACTTTCTAATCGACTCTTTCACGCATTCTTTAGAGCTAGCCGTAAAACCTACGTATACTGTTCAAGCTAAAAAAATAAGCTTGAGTTCGAAATGATGATCATACGGACACACAAGAAAACTCGTTCTAGGCTATGCGTTTTATTTTTCAACTGGAATACAGCGTTTTTCTGTGGATACAGAAATCCATAGTTAGCTTGTTTTTAAATGTAAGATATTTTGTATAAAAACAAAGTAACCATGAGTGTTCAAACTCACATAAAATGTTGTATTCTAGTTGAAAATAGAAAGTGCA